GGTATGCACAGACACGTTGCAATTATGCAGCCCCTCGCTCACAACCAATGAGACTGGGATCAACCTGAATTTTAGAAGATCAAGTGAGCTCAAGCTGTCTGTGAAGGACCACCTGGGTATCTCCCAATATACCTTCCAGAAATCATATTTAGCTTGTTATTACTAGTGTGGACTTGCCCAAGTCGATAAACAACAGATGAGGACTGCGGATTTTTATTTACTGTTAACAGTTGCTTCCCCAAACAAAGTCCACTGCTAGCTGTTGATACTAAACACATTTGCTGCACTGCTCTGCCAACCAGTACTATAGAGTCTCACCAGAATTCTTTAAGAAGGAATCAGCAGGTCCTTTCCAGAGACAGAAGACTTCATGGATGATTTTTTTCCTCACATTATTTAAAAAATAGAACAACTTTCTCCATTGTGGCTTCTTTAGAAATAATTGCATGGTGCAGCAAGCCAGGATGCCCCTGTATCTCAAGCTCGCTGGCAAAAAAAACTGCTCACCAAGACTTTTCCAAACATAATTATCCTCAGTATATTCACAGATAAAAACTCTAGCCCTATTCCCCACCCCCCAAATATCCCAAAAGTTTTCTAAATAAATGTAATTATGTCTCGCTCATGCATGCAGCTCCCCTTTCCTTTCCTACTTTGCCCTGAAAGTAACAGCATGGGATTCTGCAGTAGATGCAGCTCTCTCCTCCCTGCTCACCAAAAGGCGTCAGCAATGAGTGCTCCAGGTCCCCAAGGACTGTGGACATTAGGGTCGCACACAAAAGAATCAAGATTTGGTGTATTTTTTAAAGCGGCAATCAGCTGCTGATCATTTGAAAAAGATGCATGAGAAACTTCTACCTGAAACTTTGTCTGAAGTGCTGGACAATTTGATTTCTTTCCACACAGCTTGACTTGTGGGAAATTCTCTGCCCTTTATTCAGACCAATAAAGTATACAAAATGAAACTCACAGGGCATTTATTTCCTAAAGTTCCTTTTTCCTCCATAGAAAACAGTTTTTCCAGATTTTGGCAAAAAAACTCCCAACAAGCAGAACTCCTACTGATACTGCAAATACGTTAGGCAGAGAATCAACTTCATCTTGTTACTAGCTACAAAAATTACCTCGCAGCCATTTAGTGAGGACTCACTGTGGACAACAACATATACACATTTACTCTGTGGTGACATTTTTTACATATGGATAATTATTTAAGCAGGTAGCCTAGAATTTACAGATATTTGAGAAAAGAAAATCAGAGAAGCACACTTAGGCTCATATTTAATATTAAAATCTGTGCTCACTAATAACTTTTTAAAACTGTCTTTCCTCTGTGCTAGATCTAATGGCTTACTAGAAGAGTATTATATAAGATAAACAAAGAGATTTACTGTAATTTTTTTACTAGATTGCTAGCAAAATTACAATAATTATAATAAGTAAACACCCTCCAGTCCTGTGGCAGGTATGCTAATTCAGTCACAAAAGCTTACGTCAGAAAAACAGTGTATAGGTTTTTGTAGTGTTCTGAGTAAATAGTACGTTATTAAAGATTTTCATTTCCAGTTTATAGAACTATTAATGTTACAGTATTAACTCTATTTTGCAAATGGTTTTATAGCTTCTGAGCATAAATAGTATTTCACCTCTCATGTTGTTATAAAAAACTAAGATAATAACCACGGAGACCCTCTGTTAAGAGATGCATTACAGTGTCAAAAACAAGAGGACACCATTAAAAGAACTGGTTTTCTCTGTAAATCTAAATTTCCCAACCTGAGAAAGCCAACAAAAACAAAACAGGAAGTAGAAAACAATATTTTCATTGATGCACCCTTCTCAGCACACCTTAGAAAAATGTTTGAGTCTCTACTACGCTACTTCACTTCTCGGAGATGGCAACATCTGAAGCACCAGCCATTTAGCAGCTGTGCAAAAAAATGAGTACCGTGCTATTCACTTTAGGAGGTACAAATTCCAGAACCAAGGCGCAAAACTAATGTGAACGACTACAATTGACTTGTAATTATACAGTGTGCATTTTACCAAAATTCACGTGAGCCCACGGTATTTTTACTTACATCTCTGTATCCATGGGGAATAGTGCCTGAAATATCAGCAAAAGGAATCGCACATCCAGCTGGACAATACTTACTGGAAGAGAACAAAATACCAAGTCAAGATATGCATGCAACTACAACTCTCATAATGTTATAAAATAGACACTATGTTTTTGATTTACGATACACTGTTATCATTCATGTGTCACTATTTAAGGATATATCCTAATTGAAGATATATCAAATCAGACAAAAAAATACTCAGGAAGAGAAGCACACAACGGCAGAACAGACATTTGAAAAAGTTTAAAAAAATGTTTCAGCTGAAACTACAGTTCCAGTCTTAATATAATAAATTAATAAAGCCAGCATTTTATAACATAAATATTGCATGGCTTCTGTAAATTGAAAGTCATATAAGTACCAACATTAATGAATTTTGTTTTATAAACTAGAGACCTGCATATCTGTTCGTTTTGCATCCTTAAATAATACATCTGAAAAAGTAATGTTATTTTATAATAGCTCCTGGCAATGCTTTCATCATAAAAAAATGGCCAAATTCAGTTAATACCACTTGCTCATGAAAAGCAAGAGGCAAGACATCTGCACCTCTGATGCAAGCCCGTGTTCGTGTTCTCGTGCCATCATACTGCACATACAAAAACTATTAAATCCTCAAGATTTAACAGTGAACTGGAGCAGACTATTAGCATTTTCACTGCAGTTCAACAACAGTTGAAGCAACTTTGCGGGTACCACAAAAATAATGGGATTCAGAGACTTAAACACACGTTGAGGAAGGCCAAAATCTACAATTAGAGCCCTACTTTGGAACTTGGGAAATGAGAGAGAAATGCAGAGGTTGCACTTTGAAACATTTCATGATGCCAGGGCTGAAGTTCTCGAAAAAGTAAGTTTCACAATCGTCTGCAGCTTCAAACACTGTCCTTGCTTTAGATGGAAATGAGAAAGAGAAAACAGGGAAATTACTTATGTTTCCCCCAACAGAAGGTACAGCATTTTATGTCTCCACAGAACCTCATTAATTCACAGCAAACTGTGAAAAGGGTTTGTAATTTTTAGCACATTTCATAGTTTAGTCCTCCTTAGATAACTGTAATATGAATTTCAGTATTTAAAGTGTATACCTGCTGTAATACGTACTTATAGAAGCAACATTCTTTCTATGGGAATGAGATATTAGCTCCTATGTGTTAGTGCAAATTAACGAGGTTCTACTGTATACTGCATGTAAATAACAAAAATGGGGAGGGGAGAGAGAGAAAGGAGGAGTGATGCAAACGTCAAAATTATTCAGCTCTAACCCTAATTAGTTTGTTTCTTAAGTTCTCTGGACAGCCAATTTTCAAGCTGCATCAGGTATAAGTAACAGAGTGAAGCAGAAACACTAAAATGACTTCATTAAGGAGATTGGGGGAAACCAGGTAAAATCAGTCTTACTTGAATTCTGGTTCGGAAAAGTGACTTGCATTTTCTAAACAGGTAATTAGGTCTGGAAAGAAAAAACGTTAGGTCAAGAGGATGATAAAGACAAGAAGTTTGAGTATGCTTTCTAAAGTGCACAAAAATATACCTTTGAGCCTCTGTGGTTTAACCAAAAGTCTCAGAATGAAAAAACCACGTTCTTACTAAATTTTCTTGCAACAGATTTTTTATTACAGTAGAACCTTGATAATTTGTCTGAGTAACTGGGAAATCCAGTGAGATTGTGACATAGACAAGAAGATAAATACTACAAACATTCTTTTTTTATGCAGCTTAATTTTAATTTATAGCTATACTTCAGAGAACCTGACATAATTGTGATACACAAACATATGCTCTTTTCACAAAATTAAATTAATAAGCTAGCTAAACATGCCTGTGTTTTCAGCATTTAACAGTCCTACAGTACTGAAACCAGGCAGCATAGGGAACAAACAGAGTGCCATGTTACTGGCATCCATTTGAGACTGATATCTCAAATTTTATGTTCAGTCTGCTGTGTATCAGCACATACAGTCCAAAATACAGAGAGAAAAGCATCAGAAAACCCACAAAATACAAATTAAAAATGAAAGCTCTTTATCTGCTCTTTTTAGAATTACTTCTAGAAAGGGTGTTCTCAAGCCTTTTGCCTTGTGAAGCAGTTGCTGGCAATCCTTCATTTCCTTGTGGACCATGTATGTCACTCACGGTTACAATGAGTGGAAGGAGATGCAAAACAAATACAGAAGCCTCCTTTAGATGCTAGAATAACCAAAAACATGGAAAAAACAAGAAGTGGCAAAAATCTAAAAAGTAGTCAGGAGATTATATAATTAAAGAGTTGAGGGAGTATAAGAAACTGTTACTGAAATAAAATTTTCCATGAGGTTGGTCTGTAAAAAAATAAGAAAATTTTTTAGTTATCTGCCACCTTGATTACTACCTGAAAAAATGCATTTCGTCCTTTATCCAAAGCAGCTCTTTCATTCTTAACAGATAACTGTGATTCTTGCCCTGCTATCCAGGGTAAGCTTTGATATCATTTCTCTAAAACTACAGTAACTTAAATAGTAACTGAACAGTCCAATCTCCTACGCAGAAGTATCAGGAAGACTGTATTAGAAGTCTTCATTTTTAGAAGTTAATTTTGTGAGAATGCAGGAATAAATGAAATAGTTCTGTGTCTTTACTAGGCAGCTCTGATTTTACCAGCACAGAAAAACTACCAAATAATTATAAATACCTGATTTGTCAGTGGTTGAATAAGCTGCAAGAAATCCACGTCCAGAAGTGTGTGTTCCACTCATGAACTGTACTGTGACTTCATTACTTTCTGAAGTAATTAAACCATCCATTTGAAAGCCAAACCCACAGTATTTTCCTATGGAGAGAAGGGGGAGAACAGACATGGACCAAAACCAACGTATGTTATAAGCATCTTTTTCATTTGCAGTGTAAGCTCACATTACTTCTGGTGTAAATTCAAAACCAAATACATGTGCATGACACTAAATAATGTCATCGGTGTCCATTTAAAGCAAATGGCAGAGTATGGGTTCCACATTTATTTTGCCACTGTCAGCAGGTGAGAGCCTCTCATACCCTTAACACTTGCAAATAAATGTGACCTTATCCCATTCACCTCTAGCCATGCATAAGCCTCGCAGTCAGTTCTTCAAAGACCACAAGAAATCTGTCAAGGAAAAGGATCAAGTTAGGGCAACGAGAATCATCTACAGAAGCAAATGAGAAAAAAGCCCTTCTCTTCCCTCAGCTGTTGGGGGACTTCTTCCTTGAAACTATTTCATGGTTTCTGTCAACTACTTTTCTTAATTTTGGACAACAGCAGGCATGATTCACTGCACTTCAGCATTAACATAAAAGCATATGTGAGTACCATTAATATAAACTGCCAGCTAGTTCACTTTCTGTTTTGCTGCACCTATAAAACCTAACAGAGGTTCTGCACCTGGACACTTCTCTTGCCATCCAAAATGACCAAACATAATACATTTTAAACTGAGATGCTGGAGTCTGCAGATATTGACGATATTTACCCTACGAAGTCCTAGAATTACTACCAAATGACATTACCTGGATGAATGGCTGTTAAACAGATCCAAGTCAATATGGAATTCTCCAGTGCTACTAACTAGAAACTTTAATAGAATACTGATCAGTTTATTAACCTGTTAAGAAAAAAAAAAATCTTCTGTTCTATAGGCTGCCTTGATCATTCAATGTTGTAAACCATCCATAACCCTATTCAAGATTCTGCAGTGGATAATCGAAGTGGATAATCACCAGCAGCAAATGACACTGCATATAGAATCATAGAATCATAGAAT